ACGTTGCGTGATGGTTATTCCAGAATTATCCGTGCTATTAAGCAATTCTGATTACAAAACAAAAAGAAAAGTTTGATGTTTACTACAAAAACATCCTAATCATTCATCCTGAATCACAATAAAATGCGTTTTGTACATCAGAAACTTACAGAAAAAAACGTCAACAAATATTTGTTGATAGAGTTGTGACAATGGCACATTCCCTGAAATGTGCTCGGTAACCATCAAGTAGCTTCTTTGTGCATTAATTTCACTTCGAATAAAATATTGTGTTGCATTAAGAATTTTCAAAACCAATTTATGTTCAAACTAAGTTTTTAAATTTTCTTGAAAATTTGCTTTGAAAATTTTTTTAGAGAAATCAAAACTAATATATAACATAGTCAGTCAAAAAAGAATTTTAAAATTTTTAAATTGTTCCTTTGTTTACCCTTTTATCATTCCTTTATCCTGCATTTCATCAACAAAAAATAAATACTTGAACGTTCTTTTGAAACCTCCTAGCACTCAACGTATTGAAATTTTTCCAGTGATTAATTGTTGTAATAAGCTTTCAAGCGAATTTTCCATAACTAACCTCAAGGACTATTTAACTATTATGTTTGGTATGAGAGCTTCGCGTTGGAAGAAAACCGTGGTATATGAAAAATGAGTATTATTATTTAAGTAGAAGTGTAATGATTGGAAAAGAGGAGGGATAGAGCAATTATAAATGACGGTTTAAAAGCATTAGTGTGGCCAGAGAAACTCTAAAGAAGAGATATACTGTTAATAGATATACTGTTATTAGAAGTCTACAGTCTAAGGATCAGCTCATAAGTAGTTAATTATTATAATCTTTTAATTATTAGAATCAGAGTTTATTAAGAGAAATATTTAGTTATTTAATTTATTTTGATAACGATTATTCAAAGACTGCATAAACTTATTAAACATTGTCTATTGCGTAAATCTGTCTCTTAAAACTAACGAATTCAATCACATAAATATTTTTGAATTTATATCAGACAATTATTTTATCCAGTGATCACACCGAATAATCTTTTATTGAGCCCCATGAATATTATGATTATTCCAAATTTTAAGTTTAAAGTTGTTGTATATCCATATATATATATATTAAGTTGGAGAATGAGAAATCCATTATTTTTGCATGAAATTCAATACTTTATTTAACATGTTTTGGATTGTCCGATTTGGGTCAAATATGTACCGTTTTGTTGCATAATTTGTTGCCCTTTTTAAAGGTAGCTTCTTAATGCCTCTCTCATTGAAGTCTTGATCTTTATTGGCAAAAAGCTCTAGTAATCAATTTTCACACTCTTCTCTTGATCCCAATTTCTTATCACTCAGGAAGTTTTGTAATGCGAGAAAAAGGTGGTAATTGCTTGGTGCCAGATCCGGACTGTATGGTGGATGCATTAAAATTACCAACCAAGCTCCCAGAGTTTCTGGCGAGTCACTACAGATGTGTGTGGCCTGGAATTGTCCTGATAGAACACAACACCTCTTCTGTTGGCCAATTCTGGCCGTTTTTGATCAATTGCTAGCTTTAAACGGTACAGCTGTTGACAATAAGATCTGAATTTAGTATCTGGCCATACGGAAGCAACTCATAATAAATTATTCCTTTCCAATTCCCCCAAATACACGGTAGAACCTTCCCGGTGGTTAGTCCTGGTTTGGCCACCGTTTGAGCTGCTCCACCTCGTTTTAACTACGAACGTTTCCACACAATATTAACGTATGTGACCCATTTCTCATCCCAAGTCACCATCCGCTTAAGAAATGGGGCGATTTCATTCCGTTTGGCCAAGGCTTCACAGATGGAAATTCGATCCATCATGTTTTTTGATGTTACATTTGAATTTTTCTATACATGTTAGACGTATCATAATTATAGTTTTGAAAGAGCGTATTTTATTTATTAAAAACTGTCCAAATAAATAAAAAAATACATTTTCTAGTTTATTGTCCTGCTGAAAGATAATTAGAGTAAAACTGTGTAAGTAACGTAATTTATTTATTTTTGAATGTTTACTTAAATTAAAGGTATAAACTACCTTTTACCTTTAACTACCTTTTAGAAAAAAATAGAATAAAATTGTGAATGTTTTGAGTTTTTAATTTCAAGTAACGTATATGAATAATATTTTGTCTCAATACTGGTTTCTACTTTATAGTAATTATAGTTATGAGTTTACAAAAACATGCTTTTTCTTGTAAAATCTTTTAGTATTTGAAGGGAAAAATATATTTGCGGAGATTGCAGCATAGAAAAGATATAAATATTATCTTAGGTAAAAGAGCATTAAAAGATAAAGCAATTGAAACGAGTTTTATCTCAGCATAATAATTATTTTATTGTAAAAATTCTAATCAGCTACACAAAAATGGGTTATTATTAGAAGATTACGCAATTTTTACCGCATCTGAACGCAAAACAATGTTAAAGATACAAAAGGAACAAAATAAAAAGAATGCTAATAGATTTACTAATAACCTTACTAAAATTTCTAATTTTTTAAATTTTTTTCCTCTTACAGAATTTGAGTTTTTGCAAAATTAGATAGGTAATGGAAAATAAATTTTGTTCCAAATTTTATTCGAGTTTGATCACTAGTGAAAAAGATGTACAAGAAAAATTGTTTATGGCTATATATTCTACTGAATTACTTCACCTAAATAATTCATGATCCTTCTCCGTTTCTTATCCACAAGAAGTACGTATATTAACAAACAAGAAGTTTATATAGTTCCAATTTAGGTTTTTAAATTATTTTTTGAGACTGGTTTTCCATCACAATTTCAAAGATGAATATTTCTTGAAAACCATCATTTTAGATTTAAATGTTCCAAGATATGAAAAATTCAAATGTGTTATTATTTAGTATGTTACAATAATCTTATTTCGTAACAGTGTGCATTTAATAAATTCCGATTTTATTTATACATATATTTTCTGAAAAATATATGTTCTTTCATCCGAAAGTTTTTAAGTATTGGATAAAATTTTTTTAATTGTTAAATTCAGAGACATTGCTTTAATGTTAGGGGACCCATTTTTTAAAACTCAAGTAACTGTTAAATATTCTTGCAATACTTATCAAAATTTAAAACTTATGCCTTTTTTACGATAAATATGCAACATGAAAAAAAAATTAAAATTCTTAACAAGCAATTCTTTTTTAGAAGTTACTTAACTACATCAATGAAGTAATCCATTCACTTTAAAATATAGTTTCTTTTGAATAATAAACATTGATATTAATTCTGATCAAGTTCGACCGAATTTCTGAAAGTTCTGAAGAAAGTCTCATTCTTTTTGATGGTTATTTGTTGCATACTTTTTTGAGCTCTGTTTGTGGAAAATGTAAAGTTACGATAAATTTAATTCTAAATTTTTATAAAAGGGCCAATGAAATTGCACCGAAATTCTACGTATTACTATTAAAATTGTATTTTTGTATTGCAATACATTATTTCTTCACGAAATTACTAACCGAATATTATCTGCCTTGTTTATACGAAAAGTAGGTAATGATTTTAGCTCTTTAATCTTAAAATAAATAAATATTCTAACTGTAGTTTAAAAAGCAAGACGTAGGATATTGCAACATATTTATTACAATTATTTTTCTATAATCCTGAATAAAGCAAACAATATATGAGTGTTTTAACAAAAATAGTAATCATAAATGAAAATTACAATCTTAATAAATTATAAGATAATTTGAAAAAATAAATAAAAATTATGATATTAATCCTCTATTCTTTCTGGTAACCTCAAATGCTCTGTTTTTTGTTAAAAATCCCAGGTAGTAGTTATGATCAATTTTAAAGATATTGTTTCATTCCTTTACAATTACTTTCAGCTCATTAGCTATTGAAAACTGCTTATTATTAGCATAAATTTTGTGGCATAATACACATTCATCGTATGGAAAAATTGTTTCTATTTCGTTGTCAAGTCATTTCAGTAGTTGTTTATAAAAAACGAGGCCGTCAAGGTTAAATTTCTTTCCCTCAAAAAATATTTGTTTCCACTTTCATCACAAGACATTTTTACCCTCATTTTTCTTGATGATGATTCAATAAGTTTCCTGTTTTCTTCATTCTCACGTTTGGTATTAGTATTTTGATACAGGACACATATAAATTGGAGCACGTGCAGTTTTTTGCTGAAGCGATTCGTAATTTCTAAAGTTGAAATACCTTTTTTTAGTTAATAAAAGAAAAATGTGTCGATCGTGTCATTCTGCCAAAATCTTTAATATTTTGTGTTAAAACTTGGATAATACAATCAAAACCTTTAATTTTTTCCTCTTCTACATATTGCTTTTAAAATGCTAAGGATTGCATTTTATAAATTTCTGATGAGATGTATAATATACAATGAGTCCCGAAAACTCGGCCTAATGTGGTTTGTGAAAATACCAAGTTATGGAGAATGGAGTTAAGAATGAGCACGAGTGTTTCTATAGAAAATATTGCACTGCACTTGTTTGTATTGTTTGCTTGAGAATGCAGCAGAAAATAAACTGTCCTAATACCCTTAAATTAAGGAAAAGTGCGTACGTTCTGAAGGCAAAGAGCATTTACTACAAGAAAATAAACATTGATAAATTCAAAGTATGCAGTCGTTTACCTGATCAGACACACCTAAGAAAAATACTTTATGAAGGCATAAGGCTGTATATAATGAAAATTAAGTAGCCGACTTTGCAAAAACTGACTACTTTTTTTTAAAAACAAGTAATATAAAAAAATTTCAATCAATTCCTACTTAGGTCAACAAAGAAAGATTTTATTTTAGCTACTTTTATTGAAATAGTTACAAATAATATATGTATACATATGACAGAATCACAATAATAAAGTGACAAAATAAAAAGCAATTTTCCATTTTCCTTTCTACATAAGCTGTTGGACTACGCCAACAGCATATGTAATTAAATTTAATTATTTCAATAAAATAGTATAGTAAAAAAATAAATAACATTCTCAGAAATTAGGATTTGAACCTACGACCTTTGGATTAGAAGTCCAACGCGCTATCTATTGCGCTACAGTGAACGATTTTCTTTTCTATATGTGCTGTTGGACTATTATTTTTGTTTTTTACTTTTATTCATTTTTTAATTTAATTAATGAATTGATATTTAAAAAAAATATTAACGTCAAGTGTCATCCACTTCAAGTAAAAAAAAATGTATTTGAACTTGATAGATGAATAGAAAGTATTTTATTAACGATTAAAAATTTGAACAAGATATATATATATATATATACATATATATATATACATATACATATATATATATATATATATATATATATATATATATATATATATATATATATATATATAAAATATATAACTAATAAACTAATAGCAGGAATTGAAACAGAAAGGCGTACTTTCCTGTTTCCTTCCGTTCATCATTCTGCGTTTCGCTATTTCATCGAGTAGACGACGAAGGAACAGTGAGTCATATGCAACCCTTTGTTCAAAATAATGAAGGGTGATTTATACATCCTTTAATCTGTTACTGAGTTTGTAAGATGTCTTCTACGTTAACATCATCATTTTCCGGCATTTCTTCATTAACTGTGACACAGCAGCTATAATTTGTGCATCGAACATAATGCCTAACTCAGTCTGCACTTGGGGATTTTGATCTAGAAGGGTGTGACCGAGTTATCCGGACTATCAGGTTAACACAGGTGCTGAGTTTTCGGAACTCTACTGTGCTAATTGTTTTGGTTTTATAATTTTTAAAATCAAATATTTAATTTTTAGAAAAATGAGTAGATTTTAATAAAATTTAATTTTAAGTTAGAGTAGAGAAATTGTTTGGCTAATTATTTAAGTATGCAAACAGGAAACATTCATTTCGGGAATTAAGACAGACCCTTTCATTGAAAAATTGCTCGGTGGTTGGTCAAGTGAGAAGTGTTTGAGTTCTCTTTTTGAAATGTAGTGATAATTAGCTAACCTCTCACGTAGACAGAATTGTGTTCGACAATCATTAAACCATTTCATTTAGAAGGATAGGGGGAAATATTTTATTTTAAAAATGTATTGTTAATGCTATTCAAGTTTGTTGTTTTTATATTTCCCACCATCTCAAGTTTTTAACGATAATCATACCCAAGCTATTATTTCGTTCTCTTATTTAAATGGTATACCATAGGTATATAGATTTAAAATATATTTGAACTACATTTAAAATTCCGTTTTCTGCAGCGTATATGTTGAACCAGCGATGTTTGCTTAATATTTCGTAAGCAAAGATAATTCCTTCACAAATAGTATTATTTAAGCTGAAATTCTGCAGTTTTATCTAGTGACAACATTGTTATCTGAGTTTGAAAAGTATAAACATACATATCCCTTCTTTTATAAAAGGTGTGGTTTTGCAAAGCTCAGATACATTTAAAGATAATGTTTGATGTGTGCAGACCAGCTGCTCAAGAGATAACTATAATTTTCTTCTTTAGGCTCTTAAAAATATTTAAAATTTTGTATCTAAAATATTTTCAAATGTATGTTTGATGTAAAATTATTATGTACGGCGTTTTCGTTACTTAATGATTCATTACCGGTAATTTTTCCCAGATCGAAATAAACTTGGTACATAACTTTAAGGGTAAGTCTCTCTTTCTCTCTCATCGTCTAGTTTTATATATAACAAAATTTATTATAAAAGAGAGGAAACTTTTTTTCTCTTTGATTTGCAACAGGTCAAATTTCGTTTATGCGAATGCTCCAATGCTTTGAATTACACTCGCTTCGATCCTTAATGGATTAAATAATAATGAAAATAATAACATTTCCAGGAAATAAATATTATAATCCACGATTTGTTAATTTAGTGTTGAAAAATAACATTCATCATACAATACAATGACAAAAACTAAAATTTATAATTTGTAATTTAGTAAGCTCTTGTTTTTTCAAGCGGAGGACTTTAATGTATATAAAGCTTATGAACTTTTGCTTCTAAAATATTTTTTCAAAAGTCTCATTTTGTAAAAAAAATATTTAATTGTTTACTTTACGCTAAAATTAATAAAACTACTTTTATACAATTATTTAGAAAAAAAATGTTTCCTATCAAAAAGCAAATAAATAAATAAAATATTAACACATTGACTTACCTATGGCTTTGATGTAAACTGCTATTCGATTGGGTATAGAATCGAAAAAATGATGGAAGCCCTTCTGGGGTATATCTTGTATTTCACACGTCCGTAGTAGTGAGTTAGAAGGGCATGATATGGGAAAAGTCGTAGGCCCTTGCTTTTCAGATACCAAATGTTCTTTATTGGGGAGAGATCTGGTAATCACGTTGAAGAATGAAGTGGGGAAGCATGAATTCCAGCCAAAGAAAGCCGTGCCACATAAGGCAGGACATTATCCTGTTGAAATGTGAGCCCATAGATTAACTAAAGGATGGGAGACACTACGGAAATTAGAATCTCGCCAACGCACTGTCGTGCTATAGGGCATCATGATGATTACCAAAAGGCTTCAGCTCTCAAATGAAATGGCTTTTGATACCATAGCTTCCGATTATTGGACTTTGAGGCGGACAAAAGTCACGTGAATATGCCGCCGCTGTTCTGAATGTCTACAGACACATCTTTGCTGGTCAGTGGGCTCAATTTCAAAAGTGATTCATTTCTAAAAACAATTCTAACTCAGTCCGTGAGATCCCAAGTCGAATGCGGTGTGCAACGGTGAGGTGTAGTTGGTACAACGGCCTCTGTGATCTCAGTCCTCACTCGTTGCGTCACCTGACAATGGTCATAGCAGGCATTGGGTAAATAGGATATTCTCAAAAGTTTAACATAAAGTTAATTACAATCTTTTTCAATAAATTTAATTAAACTAAAATAATTTTCTTTTTATGCTGTATATTATAATGTTATTCCTATCTACTTCACTGAAACATAATGACACGGCAAGGAATTTCACTCCAATGTAAAAAGAAAAAGCTCTACTATTTCCGGGTTGCACTTTATTTGATTCCCCCCTTTCCCCCACGTATCGTAGCAAAATGCAAAATTCCATTTTCTTGAATGCGTGTGTAATATACCTCAATGAAGCATTAGGATGAACTATTAGGGACCGTCTTTTTTGAATCTTGATTAGAAGACAAGAATGACACCTTACTCTCCATATTTTTTCTCTCTACTTATTAGAAAACTTTTAGGTTCGCTATTGCTGTTACCAATTCCTCTAGAAACTAGATCAGATCCATGAAAACAAATGGGTAAATATGAGCAGGAGCCTTTTTTGCCTTGTAATTTTGAGCCACTGTCAGACGACCGTCATATGACTTGGAATACATCTGAGGTGGAACCTCATTCTTTACATCTATGCCACATCAACGGAATTACTTGGATCCTTAACAAATATAGCGAACATCAGTCTTTCTACATCAACTTAAACTGTGATTCACGGACCGCCAGGATTCCGCAGTGCCTTTATAAGGGACCCACGAAAGTCTCTCATTTAATGTTAAGATTTCTCTATTCTACAGATTGAAAGGCTTCGTGCAAAAATTGAAAGATGTGGCCTTCTAGTGTAGGTCCCTCAATTGTCCCCAATGAAAAAACTCTACTAGTTCATGTATTTCAATTAAGAATATTGATTAAATTTTTTTATTCTTTACAACTACACTCCTGACCATTAAAACTGCTACACCAAGAAGAAATGCAGATAACAAAATGATATTTGTTGCACAAATATATTATACTGGAAATACCAAGTGATTAAAGTTTCAAAAAATTTAGGTGGATAGATCCTGAGAAAACAGTACTCAGAACAAACATCTCTGGCAATAATAACAGCACTTATACTCTTGGGCATTGAATCAAACAGAGATTGGATGGCATGCACCGGTACAGATGCCCATGCAGCTTCAATGCGATGCCACAGCTCATCAACCGTAGCGATTGCCGTATGGTGACGAGCCAGTCGCTCGGCAACCATGGATCAGACATTTTCTATTGGTGAGATATCTTTTGAACGTGCAGACAACGGAGACAGCCGAACATTTTTCGTATCAGGGAAGGTCCATACAATACCGGTAGCATGCGGTCGTGCATTATCCTGAAGAAACATAGGGTTTCGCAGGGCTCGAATTAAGTGTAGAGCCATGGGTCATAACAAACAAGAAATGTAACATGCACTGTTCAAAGTACCATCAAAGCGAACAAGAGGGGATCAAAACGTGTATTCAATAGCGTCCCATACCATCACACCAAGTGATGGTTCAGTATAACGAAGATGAATGCACGCTGACAACGTTCGCTCAGCCTTATACCGCCAATTGCTGTAAACAGAACCGGGATTAATCTGAAAAAATGAAGTCTCGCCATTATTGTGCCCAGATTCGTCGTTGATTACACCATTAAAGACGCTCCTGTCGGTGATGCAGCGTCAAGAGTAGCTGCCGCCATGGTCTCCGAGCTGAGAATCCGCATTGTGTCAAACTGTTCATGCAGACATTTGTTGTCTTGCAAATGACCGCAATTCTAGACTCAGGGCACGTTACGTGGCTGCACGATCCATTAAGACCATGCGAGTAACATGCTTGTCTTCTTGGCTGCTAGTGATAGGGGCCGTTGAGACCAAGCACGGGGTTCTGTATGACCATTCTGAACACATCAATTCCATATTCTGCTAACAGTCACTGGATCTCGACTGACGCGAGCAGCAATACTGAGATACGATAAACAGCAAGTCCAGTAGGCTACAATTCGACCTTTATCAAAGTCCTAAGCGTTCTGGTGACTTTCTGCTTTTGCACGAGACATCACAACTTTTCTCCAGACAGCAACGTTCAAATGCAATTTGTGTCTGGACTATTTCCCCTTTTAAACACATTGCAGGTGTCGCTACCGACGCCTACTTTGTCTGAAAGTGCTGAAAAGCTAATCATTTGCTGTCATCATCTTCCTGTCGTTTAAATTTCATATCTGTAGCAAGTCGCCTTTTTGGTGTAGGAATTTTAATAGCCAGTATGTATATAGATATTATTACAACGTTATATTTTCATAAA